CTGGTCCTTACCTCTGATCTGTTTTTTTCTGTTATTGTTGTTTGTTTTTCTGTTTTTTAGGTTACCTTGAAATCTGGATTGATTTTGGCTAACTCAGCTCAGTCAATCTTGTCTATAATACATCACATATTAATATATTACTTTCTCTAGACAAAAATAAATAAAAGAGAAAGTTCATGTGAGGGGTGGGGGGATATAAGGAAGTTCCAGAGAAAACAAATTTAGGAGGTTAGACACACACAATATTCGATTCTATCATCATCATTATCATGATATTTAAGCTCTTTATTTGGTGTCACAAAAAGACATTAAAATATAACTCTATCCTTGTAGCAGCTGTGACAAAGTTATGATAGTATATGTCCTGGATGTATCTGTGATTAATGACCTTTATCATTAAGGTTTTTACATTCAAAGTAGTCCTGAACACACATATGCATTTTATCAAGTAGGTCTGGAGTTAATAGAAGATTTTCCTGAAAACCAGGATGAATATTCCAAGAGATTTGGGATCAAGAACTACTGATTTACATGATCCTGCTTTACAAAGGGGCCCAAACCAGTCCTACTACTACTCTCCTACTCTACCATTGATTGGGAGTTCTTAAAGGAATGTCAAGGGCAAAAACCCAGAATCATTACCTGAGAATATCTACAGGTTTAGAGGTGGAAGAAAGGAAGGAAACTGTAAACACTTTTTAATCAGAAAATCTCTTATAAGGAAAAAAAAGCTGATACTAACAAAGGTCAAAAAATCCTAATATACCTTAAATTGTATCCATTAGAGAATATTTGCAGTTACAACCATAATTATTATCCCTCCCCCTTTCCCCCTTTTTTACTTTTTTTGCTTTTTGTGTCACAACCCGTGATGCTCAGGGGTTATACCTGGCTCTGCACTCAGAAATTACTCCTGGTGGTGCTGGGGAGACCACATAGGAATCCTGGGATCAAACCCAGGTCAACAGCATGCAAGGCAAACACCCTATCTGCTGTGCTATCACTCCAGCCCCCCCCTCTTTTCTCTTTATTGTAGTTAAGGTAATATGTTTAGGGGAGTGTTAATGATGATGATCTTGATGTAGTTACTACATTGCACCACCTCTGTGAAGTGTGTTGTTGTTATTGGATACAGCACCAAAAAGTCCTTATGTGACATCTAGTCTGCACTCCTCTTCCTAATGTAATCTCAATTTTGAAATCCAGGGTCAAGAATATGTCATTATTTTTTTGGTGGGTAGGAGGCAAACGGGGATAGGAAGGCACTGGTGGAAGGAAGTCGACACTGGTGAAGGTATTGGTGTTCAAACATTGTATGAAACCCCATCATGAATAAGCTTGTAATTTCATAATGATGAAATTCTTTAAAACTTTAAAAATAAAATAAAATACTTTGTCATCATTTGTCTGTTCTCTTGTTTTGCTTATATATTGTAGATGAATGAGATCATCTTGTATTTGTCCTTCTCCCTTTCACTTAAAACTTAACATGGTGCCCTTCAGTTCCACCTAACTTTTAGCAAATTGCAGGATTTCCACCTTTCTTATAGCTGCATAATAATCCATTGTGTATATATGCTACTGTTTCTTCATTCTTCATTATTAATTTGTCTTTGGGTTTTTGAATTGTTTCCATATCCTGACTACTGTACTAAGTGCTGAAATGAACATGGGTGTGTGTGTATATACATATATATATACACATATATACATATATATACATATATATACACATATATATATCATCCAAATTAACATTTCTGTGTTTTGGAGGTAGATGTCAATAAGAATAATAACTGGCCCATATGGAACTCTAGTTTTATTATTTTGAGAAGTCTTCAAATATGATTTCCATAAAGCCTGAACCTTATGACATTCTCACCAACAGTGAAAGTGAGTTCCTTTTAACCACAACCCCACGAACACTGGTTATGCTCTGTCTTTTTGATATATATCATTCTCCCCAGTGTGAGGTGCCACCCTCTTTTTGGTGGTAATAAACTGTATTTTTTTTTTGGGGGGGCACATTAGAGCCAATCAGACATAGTGCTCCAGGTACAATGTTGTGCCACGGATTAAACCCAGGGTTCCCATTCATGCACTCTAGCCCTTTGAGTTATCTACCTGCCTAGTCAATGAAATATAAATTAACTTACATCTGGTAGCTTTTGCCTAGTACCCGTCTATCGTTCTCAAACTTAAGTATATGTAAGTTTGTTAAGCTCCTGCAAGTTTGTTAACCTGGAGATTCCTGGGCCCTGTGCTCAGAGCATGATTTTGTAGGTAGAGGCCGGGAATTCATATTTGAATATCCAATTGATTATTTGGCTCATTCCAGATATCTCTCATTTGATTAGTCTTGGTTGATACATTGAGAAACATTTTTTTTCCTCAATGGACTGAAAATACAACTGTTTGACTTCTATCTGAAATTTACTGTCAGACATAACATTTTTATTCCCGAGGTCTCAGCTTCCTCCTGTCTAAAAAGCTATGATAGCTTAGATCTTTATTCCCCTGGGTGGGAATTCAATGAAAATGTATGTAAACTTGGGGCTGGAGAGAAGTAAGGCAGGTAGGGCACTTGCCTTGCATGTAGTTGGCTCAGGTTTGATCCCCAACATCCCGTGTGGCCCCGACACCTGCCTGAGCAGAGCCTGAAGTAAACCCTAAGCACCATGAGGTATGCCCCTCCCAAAACAAAAACAAAAACAAGACAAAAAAAATTAAAAACAGACTAGGAATAATGTGAGTGCAGAGCCAGAAGTAAGCCTCAAGCCATACCAGGTGTGGCCCAAAAATCAAAAAAACTTAAAAAAGAAAAATGGGCCACTCTTAAGTTCCATCAACCTTTAGCCTCATTAGAAAATGAAAACAGAATATATTGCTTCAGCAAGAAATTGTGTTCTAGTGCCAATAACTGACAGCAACATGTTTGAAGCATAGTTTAATTGCAAGTTTGCAAGTTGAACCTGGTATAAGTTTAACCTTATTTACCGAAAACCACATATCCAGAAAGCAGTGCACTCTCTAGTACTACAAACTGTCAGCATAAAAGCACAGACCGTTACTTTTGCCTAGAATCAATCTGTACACTGCTTTTCCATAACTCTAGTTTAGACTATTTTTTTTGTTTTTGCTTTTGAGTCATATCTGGCATTATTTCTGATGCTCTAAGCTCAGCAATCACGGCTAGTAGGGCTTTGGGTACTATATAGGATGCCAGCAATCAAACCCAGGTTGACTGCATGCAAGATAAACACCCTACCCATCATCCAGTCCCCTTTAACTTTAGTTTTGAAAGGAGATGTGGCTCAGTGGTAGATTACATATCTGGCAATTTTTTGGGGGAGGGGGGTCACACCCGGTGATGGTCAGGGGCTACTCCTAGTCACATGCAGTGATGGTCAGGGGCTGTGCACTCAGAAATTACTACTGGCAGTGCTCAGGGGACCATATCGGATGTCGGGGATTGAACCTGGGTGGGTTGCATGCAAGGCAAACACCTTCCCACTGTCCTTTTGCTCCAGTCCCTTTAACATGTAGTTTTAATTGCTAGCACTGTTAAAAAAAATAAACAAAATACACAAAATGAAAGAACTGTGACTCCAGTTACTTGGGATATTTCCATCTGCATAACCCAACTAGTCTATCTTGTTTAGAATTTTTCTCCCTACTCTCTCAGGGATTCCTTCTATTTTCCTCATTTCTTTTTTAATCTGACCTCTACCCAAAGAGTGCTGTTAACTTATTCTCCAAATAATAAAAACTGTCCAGGCTGTTTGATTGGGGGCCACAGTCAGCAGTGCTCGGAACATCCTCCTGGCTCAGCACTCTGGAAGTCTGGCAGACGCAGGGGATATGGAGTGCTGAGGATTAAAGTCAGGTCGGCCATGCACAGGACAAGGGTCCTACCTGCTGTACTATTGCTTTGGCCCCTAATACCATCATTTTGTTCCTAGCAATATTTTTTCTTCTATCCACACCTGCAAATGTGTAGGTGTAAGCCCTTGTTCCTGGCTTCTCAAAGTTCTCCATGCATCAGTTTCCTTCCCTATACCATACATGCACCGTTAGGATCCTTGACCAACTTTTCCATAGCAAAAGTGTCAGGAATTTGGAAGTCTCTTTGACTTGTTCCTATTCTTCAGCCCCACATCTCCCCGACCACCTCATCCACTCTATGCTCTTTTCTCAGGACAATCTGCCCCATCCTTATCTATTCCTAGTGCCACTGTCCCCCTTTAGACCTTTTCCTACTGAAGTACCAGTCTTCCTTCTTTAACTGTGCCCACCACACAGTTCTCTTTACTAGAATTCATTATAAAAGTTGCCCAGATTGCTTTTTTAAAAATAGAATGAAGATCCTGTCTCCTTTGTAAGCCTTCCTTGATTTTTTTTCCTTTTCTTTTTTTGCTTTTTGAGTCACACCTGGTGATGGTCAAGTGTTACTCCTGGCTCTGCACTCAGGATTAAATCTGGCAGTGCTCGGGGGACCATATGGGATGCTGGGGATCGAACCCAGGTCGGCTGCATGCAAGGCAAATGCCCTACCCACTGTGCTATTGCTCTGGACCATCCTTTGGTTTCTTATCGACTTTTATAGTAATATTCCATAGTGTTAGATATATTCATTAATATTTCCTACTTGCCCCTTTCGTTCTGTCTTTGGTTCTGTTTCCATTGACCTTACTGTTCATTTTCTCTACAGTAAACTCCTTGAAAGTCGTATTTAAAAAAATCAAATTCCTGGGGCTGGAGCAATAGCACAGTGGGTAGGGCATTTGCCTTGCACGCAGCCAACATGGCCGACACAGGTTCGATTCCCAGCACCCCATATGATCCCCTGAGCACCGCCAGGAGCAATTCCTGAGTGCATGAGCCAGGAGTAACCCCTGAGCATCGCCGGGTGTGACCCAAAAAGAAAAAAAAAATTAAATTCCTTTGGCTAGTACTTTTCATGGTACCCAGCAACAATAAAGAAAAACTTGGAAGACCAGTCACGAACAGCTGGAAACTTTAATTAAAATGGACAGTTTATACGTAGAACAGGACTAGTGTTTCAAATCAATTTCTGGAAATAAAAATCATGTTTGTATAAAAGAAGTAAAAGAGGCCAGCAGACGTCCAAAGAAAGGTGCAGCTGGTATTGCACTTGGCTGAGCTATGCTGTTGAGGGTGAGTGGCATAGATAACGCATAGGTGGCACGAGGCCAGGGGTACAAATATACCAAAAGAATACCCCCAAAATACAGGTAAGTTTTACTCTGATTTCAAACTCTCCAGGGGCCTCAAAAATATTGAGCACTTTTGAAACATCGAGCTGGAGTTCCTTCAAATATGATTGCTGTGTCTCTTCCAGGATTGCTACACTCAGGTTCTTCGTTTCAAATCATGAGCAAGTCGAATGGACAGCTCTGCTTCACAGAAGGTGACTCCTGTCATGCGCCAATCACCAGTGCTCCAGGCCATGCAGGGTGGATAAGCGGCTGGTTTTCCGCGTCACACACATATTACAGAACGATGCTGTGGCTAGGTGTACTCTTTCGAGCACTATTCAGTTTGGTCATTTATATCAGAACATGAGAACAAGTGGCAATGAGTTTGAATGAGTACTGAAGTAATTCATAAAGCATTAGTAGAAAATTTTTAAAAAAAAGTTAGTCTCTGCCACACGATGGTGGCATAACTGCATAAGAAAAAAGGCTGTAAACGTATAGAAAAGATCAACTCTGGCATCTAAACAAATTACAAAATTGATTTTGCCTTTGCTCTTGAGTGTTATACGGGAAAAAAAATGTAAACGACTAGTCATCGAAATACACAAGTCCTCCTAACTGAAGAATGATCTTAGAGTTTAGCCTGAGCTAGTTTTATCTTCAAGTTCTCTCCGAGTTTGTCCATGAACTCAAACGTATTCAAGTAGTCAGAACGCTGCACGCTAATAGAGGAGGAAAAAAAGAAAAGAAAGACAGTTAGTTGGTCTCTGATCATATACCAAGATAAGGGTAATTCCTGGAAATACTAATTCAGGAAAACTGAATTACACTAGCAAATTCCAAGCGCAGGATCAATGACTGTGCTCAAGGTTCGGGGCCTGAGCCAGGCTCTTGGCTGCCTGCAGTCTGGCTGCACGCGTCTTTATAGTAGCCTCTAAGTTTTATTTCATTTTGGGGGCATACCCAAGTATGCTCCAGGTCTACTACTGCTTGATGCTTTGGGGTCATTCGCTGTAGTACTTGAGGGACACTTTGGTACCCGGTATCAAACCTGAAGCTCTGGCATGCAAAGCATGTGCTCTAGTCCTTTCTTGTGGGATTGGGGTATACCATGTGCTGCCAGGGATCAAACCTGTGCTTCTGGCATACGAAGTGTGTGCTCCAGCCTTTGAGCTATCTCCCCCACCCTGCCCCTGAGTTTTGAAGGTGAGACTATCATAGAGCGTTAGTTCTGATTAAAGTTCATGAGACTGAAACCTTCCCACTTGCTTTATTTGGTGGGGAGGCATAGGGGTTTAATTGACCCATAAACAGTGGCATCCAGGGCTTAGTAGTCCTGGCTTGGGGATCAAACCAAGTGCAACCCCTCTACTACCTCTGAAACCTACTGCCCCACTTCTTATTCTTTCTTCAAATTCAAAGTTAAATCCACTTAGGAGGGGCTGGAGCGATAGTACAGAGGTAGGGTGTTTGCCTTGCACATGGCCAACCCGGGTTCGATCCCCAGATCCAATATGGTCCCCTGAGCACCACCAGGAGTAATTCCTGAGTACAGAGCCAGGTATAATCCCTGAGCATCGCCAGGTGTGACCCTCCCCCCAAAAAAATCCACTTAGGATTTTAACATGTATTTCCACAATTGTTCTTTAAAAATGTCTTCATGCTCTTATTTCTATCAGTGTCTTAGTGAAAAAAAAAAAAAGGTAAAAGACAAGATAGGTGTCTACTTGTTCCTATCATAGTCAGATGTCTGGCGATGAGCAATAGTACAATAGATAGGGCATTTGCCTTGCACGCGACTGACCCGGGCTTGATCCCAGTCATTCCTTATGGTCCCCTGAGCACCGCCAGGAGTAATCCCTGAGTGCAGAGCTGGAAGTAACTCCTGAGCATTGCTGGGTGTGACCCAAAAAGCCAAAAAAGAAAAAAAAAAGATAGGTATTTATTCAAACAGGATATAGAATTACCATACCAGTACAATTCATTGATTGCACTCTTGCTGAAAACGTAAGGTAAGAAAAGAATGACTGACTACATTCCCACTTACTGTAGAAAACTTTTGAGGACACAGAATTGGGCATAAGATCAGTGTGAAACTTTAATAGTAGTTCTAGGTTAAATCCGTGTACATTTTTAATTAATCTAGTCTCATGAGCAGCTAAATCCTGCTGGGATACAGGTGCCATATACTCAGAAAAACTCTGAACACATGGACCCTGAAATAACTGACAGCTGATAATAGATAATTAAAGAAGATACATGACAGTGAGGCATCTAACACGTGTAATAGCCTTCCTTATCTGGAAGTGGAAGAAAACAGAGGGGTTGCAAAAGTAGCCCGAGCAGCTCCTTTGTTCTGTCTACATTTCTTGTTAAGTTAAAGTAAGCTATGATTGCCAATTACATCAGGGGTTAGAAAGTGTCAGGTTGGCAGGTTGGTCCATGGCCCGGATCCAGGAAGCTGCAGGTTTTATTCATCAGGTTTGACCAAGACACTGCCACATTCATTTGCTTCTACATCATCTTTGCCTGCCTTCCTGCCAGTTCAATAGATGAAGTTCGACAGTTGTATAGTTTTGAAAAAATCAATATGGTTCACCAAGTTTGAAATGGTTACTATGAACAATCTACACATAGCAACTTTGGACCCTTGAACTAGATAACGAATAATAATTCATGTATCTCCAAAGCACTGATGTTTTAAATGTGAGGCTAAGTGGTAATTTAACCAGCTCATGGGGAATTTTATACTTACTTCGGTAAACCTTTAATGCAAGCAGCCAAGTCTTTGGTCATGAAGCCGGCCTCGATAGTCTCGATACAGACATCTTCCAAAGCCTTTGCAAATAAGCTGAGCTCTTTATTGTTATCAAGCTTAGCTCTGTGCGCTAATCCTCTTGTCCAAGCAAAAATAGAAGCTAAAAGAGGAGAAAAGAGAAAAAACACAACCACAATGGCTGGAAGGATTCCCAGAGTTTTGGGTTTACAAAAACAGAGGTTCATTTGTTTAGGTGATTGACATTATTTGATGCTATCCACATAGGCTGTATATTTTAGGGGAGTTGGAAAAATTTTATCAGTGGAAACTTGAAAATCTGTATTGTTTTGGTGGGAGAAATATTTCAGATGTTTTTAGAAGTTTAAGAAAGCGCATTTTCATGGGATGGTAGTAAGGGCATTTACTGATTCAGTTTGGAAAACAACATCATTTCTTCTCTTCCTATATCAATTTTTTTCTCTAGCCTTTCTAGACTGTTCTGTTTGGAGTTCTAACCAAAAACAAACCAGTATACCCAGTCTGCAAAGCTGTGGATACCATAGAGAATGAGGGGGACCAGAGAAGGAAGGGCTCTTATCCAATGGACTGCGGTGGAGGGATACTGGTCCTTCAGTGGAGGTTGTAGTATGATAACATCTATTTCGAAGAGGTATGAAATTGTTCCACCAAAATTGAATAAACTAATCTCAATGAGGGGGAAAAAAACCCAGCAAAACCAAAAACAGATCTCACTACATAATAAAAAAAATTAATGAAGTGAAAGTGCTGTCTTTAAAAATCTTAGATTCATGGAAAGGTTTATCTTGTTTGTATGTGGAGAACCAGATTAAAGCAGCTCTAACTGATAAGAACAAGTCAGATGTCTGGCGATGATTTTATCTAGTTCCTTAGAGAGCTTCACGCTCTGAATGGAAGTCAATACAGTGAACAGATTCTTACCAATGGGATTGGTGGATGTCTCCTGTCCTTTCTGGTACATGCGGTAGTGACGTGTTACAGTGCCATGGGCAGCCTCAGCCTCTACTGTCTTGCCATCTGGGCAAATGAGCACGCTGGTCATCATACCAAGAGAGCCATAACCTGCAAGAGGCAAAGGAGGACAGTCAACAGCAAGAAGAGCCCTGTGTCTTTCCAAGAAGGGAGCAGATTTGACCTCGTTTACAGTTCTTGGTAAACATAGTGGACTCGAGTACGTGTTGTCCTTGATAATTCTACCTTTGAGAAACAAGGTCCCTACTCCAGATCAGAGTCACAAGGATGTGGAAAGGAAGTAGCTTGTTTTTTTTTCTTTCTCATCTATGTCAGAGGCAATGACTTCATGAGGAAGAGCTAAGGATTAACTCCCTGCATGCACAAAGTCCTGTGACTTTCTAGGTACTCTGGCTCAGTATTCATACCTGTGAAATAGGGAAGGATAAAAGCACCTATTTCCTCGGGTTGTCTTGGGAATTTGATAACTGAATACACATATGAATACGTACACACATACGTTTGTGTGTTCATGATTACAAAGGAAAAGAATATATAACCATATTCCTTAGAATAGTACCTGCCACAGAGGAAGAGCCCAGTATATTATGTGCAGGTACCCTCCTGTTGTGGGAAAATAAGAATTATTGAGTTGTCTCCTGTCAGCAAGTGGCTGTTGGGAAGGAATAGGCTAGACAAAAACAGGGTGGGATGGATCCAAGATCATTTCACACATCCCTTTCTTGCCTTCTTTCATAGATCCAAGAATTCTATTCTCTGATTTCCTATTCAGAAAAAAACTCTAAAACCGTTTATGTCTACATAATTGATTTTTCATCCTTTATTTGCTCTTCTACACCAGAAAGAATACTTTTTTCCATTTTGACCCCCTCCTAAAAGCACATATGGAGCTAATGCCAAATTATAACAGGCTTCTATGTGGTTTTCTGTTAGACCTTTTGTTTTAACTTTAAGACTAAGAGAATAATTTTTCTCGTCATCTTTGAGTAAAAGTAAAATTTTCTGTGTGGGATTACTTGTTCCTATCATAGCATTGTGCTGGTTTCAACCTTTGGCAGTCTTTTAAATATTTGCTGATTAAAGAATTTCAGGACCATAGTTTCATGGTTAGTTTGTTTTCTATTAATATTATCAGACAGAGGCCATAAATAAAGTTCTTGATGTGAGCCCAAAGTAGATTATGATCCTAGAGAAGAATGAATATAGGATGGTCTTGCTGCCTTTTCTTCTTTATTTCTTTATTTTTCTGGGCTAGATTTGGCAATGTTCAGGGCTTATTACTGCAGGCTTAGGGTACCTTATGGGGTACCAGGATTTTAACCGAGGTTGGATTCATGCAAGGTAGTACTCTTCCTGCTACACTATCTGTCTGGTCCCTGCCTTTCTCCTACTTGGCTGCCTAGAGGTCACATATATCTAGTGGCCCTGCCCAGACACAGAGCCTTCCTTCCAAGCACTGCAGCAGAATACTGGACATTGCACTTTCAAACTCCTACTTTCCTAACTTGATAATTGCATTCAAAATATCCCTCCAGACACTCTCATCTTGGTGTCATGAGAAATGTTAGAAACAAGAGAATGACTTGAGTCCTTTTCCAAGAACTCTAATTTCTAGGAATAGTTATATGATCTAGAGATATCACAAAGCCACATCTCTTCTACTGTCCTCTGTATCGAAGAATGTGAGGATTTAGTGAGACAGAAAGAGGGTGTACAGAATTGTATAACTCATTTATTTGACATGAAAGTCCTCTTTAACTGACTGATCTAATTAGACAGAAAGAGGGTGTACAGAATTGTATAACTCATTTATTTGACATGAAAGTCCTCTTTAACTGACTGATCTAATTAATAATTTTCAGACTGGGGAGAAATGCTTAACTTTCCAAAAGAGAAAGAAAATGCTAGTACTAACTGGGGCGGGGGGGTGGGATGGGGACAAACATAATTAAAGTTAAGCAAAATATTCACCAGGAGAGTTTCAAGTTCACAAAGATACCATGGGTAACTGAGGTGAAGGGCAACTGGGTGCTGAGGAAATGAGGGATGGGAGTTTCTGCTGACTTGGCCTTCACCTCTGGCATGAAGTCTGGGGTTCTTGGAAGTTTTGTGAACAGATCTGGGCTCAATTCCTTTGTGTTTAAGGCTAAACAAGTATCTTGTATAGTACAGGGACAGGCAGCAAGGGTGGCAGATGGGCTATGGTTCCTACCTGTGGCAAGTAAATGAGCCCTTAGAGACACATGAAGACATTTTACTCTTTTGCCCAAATGTCCTCACTTTCCACATTCTCACAGAAGGGAAAACAGAACTGAGGAATGGAAATCATTTTTGGATCTGGCACTTAGGTTCTGTGGGAGATGGAAATGTCAAGTGGAGGACCAGGCTGCGAAAGAAATTGTGTCCATGTGGAAGGCAGGAGCCCGGCATCTCAACCCACTGCACCACTTCCTGTGTGGCCCAGACAAGTCTCTAAGTACGTGCTTTCACCTGTCAGCTGAGAAGATGGAATGGAGTCTGGTGGCACCCACATCTCAAGTCTTTACCAATAAAGGGTTACAGGATGGAAAACTACTGAGGCACGAAGCCCGGCCTGTCTGCCAATGGCCATGCTCCCTTCCCCCAGACTCCTTACCTTGGGCCACTGAGTCGGACTGCACGTCGCCATCATAGTTCTTACAGGCCCAGATGAAGCCTCCCTCCGACTTCATAGCTTGAGCCACCATGTCGTCAATGAGCCTGTGCTCATACCAAATTTTTTTGGCTTCAAACTGGGATTTGTACTGCCTAGGAAGTGAGAGATAAGAACAAGTGAGACTGGCAGCTGCTCCTCTGAAAGGAGTGAGTAGGGTGGGCTGGGGCTGGGAGGAGCCTTTTTGGGGTAGCAGCCATACAAACTTGGGAACCCCAGAGCCAAGGCTCAAGTCCCTTGGCTCAATGATTTTCCAGCTCTGGAAACCTCGATTTCCCCCATCTGAAAGGGCCATTTCATCTGCTTCACAGAACTGTGAAGTTTCGTTTGTAACACTACTGGCCAGGTTTTTGAGACTCTGCTTCCTTCAAGGGGCTGGTGATGTAACCCAGCCAACAGCATAGCACTAGCCTTGCATGTGGGAAGCCCTAGGTTTGATCCCCTACCCTACCCCCCACTTGACAGTCAATCACTGAGACCATTCAGGAAACTGGTCTGGTTGCTAGGTTTGGTCTATCTGGATATCAGAAAGAGGACTTAAAATTCCTCACAAAAGACTAAAATCTATACTTTGGCCTGAATATTGACTTGCAACTGAAAAGATGTTACGGCATCTTAAAATTTAACACACATGGGCTGGAGCGATAGCACAGCGGGTAGGGCATTTGCCTTGCACGCAGCCAACATGCCCAACACAGGTTCGATTCCCAGCATCCCGTATGGTCCCCCGAGCACCGCCAGGAGCAATTCCTGAGTGCATGAGCCAGGAGTAACCCCTGAGCATCGCCAAGCAAAAAAAAAAAAATTTAACACACGTTCACAAGATGTTGAATATACTTGTTGCTATGTGTAGCAAAGTTGCTATGCAAGCAGCGTTCAATTCAAGTGTACTTAACTCCAGGCATCATTTTATTCTTTCTTTATTTATTTATTTATTTTGCTTTTGGGGACACACCTGGCGATGCACAGGGGTTACTCCTGGCTCTGCACTCAGGAGTTACTCCTGGCAGTGCTCAGGGGAACCATATGGGATGCTGGGAATCGAACCCGGGTCGGCCACATGCAAGGTAAATGCCCTTCCTGCTGTGCTATCTCTCTAGCCCCACAGGCATCATTTTAAATCATAAGAAGGGGCTTCAGAAAGAATGGAAATGGGCTCAACTCAGCAAGCTGAAGTCAAACCTTTCTGACTTTAACAAGCTGCCTTTATCAAAACATCAAACAATCTGGCCCCCAAAACATAAAGAGTGATTTGAAAATACATTTACTTTCTAAAAGCAATTTAGGAGTCATTTTATTTCACTCTTGTTAAATCTCGGTTTTGTTCTCATCATTAAGGGGTACTGATGGTTTTCCCTCAATTTGACCAAGATTAAAGGAATAAGTATACAACTGCTAGACTGTAAAATGCCAGCCAAAAGAACTGTGGTTACTTGTCATAAATCTCCTGGAAAATGTCTTTGAAGCGCCCATCATATTTCTTCAGAATGGTGTTTTTGGTGCTCAGATACAAAGGCCAGCCCTTTGACAGAGCCATCTGGAAAGAACTGTGTGCAAACTCTTCGATGGACTTGTCTTGATTGTACATCCCCATGGCAACACCACCACCAGCTGTGGAGAGGCACCCATGAAAGAAAAAAAGAAGAAAAGTGAATAGGGCAGAGTTCTAGCAAGTCTAAATCCACTCACCACTCACTAAAAGACTCACTAAACCCCAGCACCTGTGTCTGACTGAGCCCAGGCTTCCTACCTGAAAATCCCACAAAAGAGCAGCTTCATGATGCACAAAATAGGAAGCTAATCTAGACATTTTAATTGTTTCAAAAGGGCAACAGAAATAAGAAAACAATGCCCCTGGGGCCAGAATGACAGTACAGTGGGTAGGACACTTGCCTTGCACATGGCTAACCTGGGTTCCACCCCCTGCACTATATATGGCCCCCTGAGCCTTGCCAGAAGTGATTCCCGAGCACAGAGCCAGGAGTAAGCCCCTGAGTATTCCAGAAGTAATGCCAAAAACAAAACAAATAAAAAACCAAAACAAAAAACATGGCCTTTAGGAGCCTCGAGATAATGAAACATTAAAAACTAATGACACGGGGCCAGAGCAATAGCACAGTGGGCAGGGCATTTGCTTTGCACGTGGCTGACCTGGGTTCATTCACCAGCATCCCATATGGTCCCTAGACCACAGCCAGGAGTAATTCCTGAGTGTAGAGCCAGGAGTAACCCCTGAACATCGCTGGATGTGACCCAAAAAGCAAAAAAAAAAACAAACAAAACAACCCTTCCCCCCAAAAAAAACTAATGACGGGGGGGGGGGGGGGGGGGGAAGGGTTGCGGTAGGACACTTTCCTTGAATGCAGCTGACCTGGGTTCAATCCCTGGCACCCCTTATGATCTCCTGAGCCCACCAGGAGTCATCCTTGAGCACAGTGCCAGAAATAAACCCCGAGCACTGCCGGGTGTGCCCCCCCCAAATAAAAATAATTTACTGAGATAAATTTATTCACTTGAGTAAATAATTTTTATCTTAGCTTTTGGGATTAAGGAACTGGGGTTTGAACTGTGGTTGGTCACATACCCCAGTCAAGTGCCTTAACACCCTGTTCTCTCTGCCCCAAGAGTAAATTTATTTTTAAACTCTTTCTACTCTTCTAAAATTTCAAGCATGTATTCTAAACTCTAAGTGTTGACTCAATCCTCAGCCTTTGATTAAAAAAAAAACACATGCCATTCAAATACAGAATTAAAAATCTCAGAATTTCCTCGAGGGCAGAACTTTTAGTTACTGGTGAAAGAATTATGCTATCTGTAATCGCAACTCTTATTAATTGAACTCTGTTATTGCTGAAAGACAAAACTTGAACCCATACTATTTCCCAGGGCTTAGGATGTGTGAAGGTAGGTGAAACCGGCAGAACTAGATTCCAATAGGATGATAAAGATTTATAAGCAGCAAGGGAAACAAAAGCTAGGCGAGTTTTTCACAACCGAGGCAGTGGAGATAAATGGCCCGTGGTTCTTTCAACAACTTTTGGGTAGGATTTTCATTCTTTCTTGGAAGCAGTGACATGGTAGCAAAGAAAAGGGAAAGAAAAATGACAACATTCCACTTTCACAGAAAACTCGGAAGGATAAAAAAAAAATTCCACAAATATGTAACACAAACATTTTCAAATACAGATCCTACCAGAGCAAAGGGCAGGATGACAGGACAGGTGATTTGGAGCCATTTAAGATTAAATTTACATAATCTGTACACACAGATTCCTGCAGACAGTCCTCTGGTTTGGAGAAAAGCACCCAATTGTATATTGTATATCTTTGCCTATATACATTTCCAGTGAAATGCTACTTTCTCCTGTGCCCTAACCCATGCCCCAGAGAAGACATGGAGGCAAAATTAAAAAAGAAAAAAAAATCTTTTTCTTTCTAATTTTTGAGGATACAACTGGTGGGATTTAGGGCTCACTCACTCCTGATAGTGCTCAGAAGACTACATGAGGTGCCGGGGATCAAAGTGAGGTTGGGCTGCATTCAGTGCAAGCACCTGAACCTCTGTACTATCTTCCCAACCCTGCAAATTACTTAATGTTACATTTTAAGTCCAATAGAAGTATTGTTGACTCAGGATGTATTTTAAGTCAGTCACACATTAACTTAAAAAATACCAGTCAATGGGGCTGGAGCAATAGCACAGCGGGTAGGGCATTTGCCTTGTGCGCAGCCGACCTAGGTTCGATTCCCAGCATCCCATATGGTCCTCCGAGCACCGCCAGGAGTAATTCCTGAGTGCATGAACCAGGAGTAACTCCTGTGCATCGCCGGGTGTGACCCAAAAAGAAAAAAAAAAAAAAACCCCAAAAAAAAAAAACCCCAAAAACAGTCAAAATGTCTAAATGATCTGTTTAAAAAGAAAAAAAAAAGATGAGACCCAAGTAATAGTATGGCACATTGCCTTGCATGCAGCTGACCTGGGTTTGATCTCTGGCATCCCATATGGTCTCCAGAGCACTGCCAGGTGATTCCTGGGTGCAGAGCCAGAAGTAACCCCTACGATCACTGGGCGTGACCCCCTCTCCCCTTTAAAAAAAAAAGAAGAAAGAAAGAAGAAAGGCAAAGTTCATGATGAGTTTATACATACCTTCAAAATTATGCACCAGATAGGTTTTTGCCTCTGATCCATCACTTGGTGTATACGTTATTTCTACTTTTCCAGGCCCAGGAACAACAAAATCAGTTGCTCTGTACTGTGTAGAGGAGAGAGAGGAATGGTAAGTATAAAGAGAAAAAAAAAATGATCTCATCAGGAATTACAAGGAAAATTTAAAAAAACCTAATCTTCGCATGCACAGCTGGAGGATACCTAACAAGGCAGTGTAGTTCCACTTTTTTAATTTTAGAAATGGGGGCAAAGAGGTCCAAAGAGTCCCTAAAATGAGTCTATAGTAGAGAACACTAAAAAATAAACATATTTTTTGGATGTCTATTATACACATAAGGAAGTCTTCTGAGCATTGATAGTGAAAAGCCAGTAACAAAGTATTTCCCCTTAAGGCTTTTACAACCTAACACTGACACACGTTTGTAAGATACAATAAAAGAGCTTTCACTTATCAAGAGGGAGAGAGACTAGATTTTTTTGTTTGGCTGGTACACCCATGCTTGAGGCTTACTCCTGGCTCGGCTCTCAGGGATCACTCCTAGCAGTACTCAGGGGACCACATGGAATACAGAGGATCAAACCTAGTCAGTCACTAGCAAAGCTAGTGCCCTACCTGCAAACACTTCTGACCTTTAAAGTCCTTCACAATGGGTGGTCATTTATTCTGGTTTCTCAAAAGAAATAAACAGTGGCACCAAGCAGCACCATAAATGCCGTGCAGAGATTTGGGCACCTTTAAATGACCTGTGAGTCTACCTAAGGACTGTAATTTTCAACCTGGAACTTAGTGCATAGAACAACCATTCCTCCAGATCACTGAGGCCAAGTGAAAAGAGAGGTCATAGGGCTCCTAAGAACTTGGAGTGGTACTCCCACCCACAATCCTTCTCCTGTGCCTCTGGGAGGTAACCTTGAAGGAACAGGTTGGGAGGAAGGAAGAGAGAGAGCCATAGGACAGAACAAACCAAGGACAGATCTGGCCACTCTGTTCCCAACAGTAAACCCTGGGCCCACCATTTTTACAGCTGGCAACATCAAAGAATTAGTGATTTCAGCAACAGTGATTCCTGTTTGTTTGTTTGTTTTTTTTGGATCACACCCAGCAATGCACAGGGGTTACTCCTGGCTCTTCACTCAGGAATTACTCCTGGTGGTGCTTGGGGGACCACATGGGATGCTGGGAATTGAACCTGGGTAGGCCACGTGCAAGGCAAACGCCCCACTGTCTGTGCTATTGCTCCAATCCTGATTTTTGTTAAAGGGCTTTCAAAACACTAAAAACGGTTTCTCTATGAAACTCTGAAACCTTACTTTTTATACAGAGTTTCGACCAGTGTTTATTTAATTTTAACTCTAACAATGAGGCCAGAAGCTCTATTTTCACTTTTTAATGCCAAACAGGACAGGACTGTTTTATTTATTTATTTTATTGAATCACCGTGAGATAGTTATAAGCTTTCATATTTGGGTTACAATCACACAATGATCAAACACCCATCCCTCCACCAGTGCACATTCCCCACCACCAATATCCCCAGTATAACCCCCCTTCCCACCCTCCCTCTGCCTCCATGGCAGATACGATTCCCCATAATCTCTCTCTACTTTTGGGCATTATGGTTTGCAATACAGACCCTGAGAGGTCATCATGTTTGGTCCTTTATCTACTTTCTACACACATCTCCCATCCCGACCGATTCCTCCAGCCATCTTTTTCTTAGTGATCCCGTCTCTATTCCAGCTGCCTCTCCCCTTTGCTCATGAGGCAGGTTTCCAGCTATGGAGCAATCTTCCTGTCCCGTGTATCTACTATCCTTAAGTGTCAGCCTCATATTATGTTGTTTTATACTCTACAAATGAGTGCAGTCCTTCTATGTCTGTCCCCCTCTTTCTGATTCATTTCACTTAGCATGATACTCTCCATGTTTATCCATTGATAAGCAAAGTTCATGACTTCATCTCTCCTGACAGCTGCACAGTATTCCATTGTGTAGATTTACCAGTTTCTTTAACCAGTCATCTGTTCTAGGGCACTTAGGTTGTTTCCAGATTTTGGCTATTATGAACAGTGCTGCAGTGAACATATAGGTACAGATGTCATTTCTACTGTGCTTTTTTAAAGCGACTACTCTCCATCAGTAAGACAGTGGTTTCTTTTTTGTGCATGAAGTGATCTTGTTTTATATTAGCTTTGGGGATTCTCAACATTGTTCATACACTATATCCTGGAGCTCTTTGAAAGTCCTTGTAGCACTGTTCCATAGCACTGTTCTCCTGTTGTTCATCGATTTGCTCAAGCGGGCACCAGTAACGTCTCCATTGTGAGACTTGTTATTACTGTTTTTGGCATACTGCATATGCCATGTGGAGCTTGCCAGGCTCTGCCATGTGGGCAAGATACTCTTGGGAGCTTGCTGGGCTCTCCAAGAGGGATGAAGGAATAGAACCTGGGTCGGCCACGTGCAAGGCAAACGCCCTACCTGCCGTGCTATCACTCCAACCCTCAAAGTCCTCAAACCCATGGAATTCACATGCAGCTGGTGCAGGGTGGGACTAAAGCAATGAAGAAACAAAATTTTTTAAAAAGAAAAATAAAACAAACAAAAAACCCCCTATTGTACAGTGAGACTTAGGAAACATTGTTAGAAAAACTGATTTGAACCACAGGAAAGAGGAGGGGGAGAGGGAGAAAGAGAGGGAGACAAGGAGGGAGGAAGGGAGGGACAGAGACAGAAAGAATCATAATCATATAGTTTTACCTAGTAATGATAAAGGAGAGGGAGAGAGAGAGAGAGAGAGAGAGAGAGAGAAACTATCACATACTTTTATCTAGTAATGATAAAGGAAGAAAAACCCATGCCTGCTCAAGACCCTTCATGTGGAAACGGATAAGTATCTATAAGTAAGTTCATTTCCATTTTACGTCTACTACAAATCTGGATAGATACATAGACACATTTCTCAATGTTGCACCTTGCTCAATGGGAGTAGACACCAGGAGATAAAAATAGAAGATGTGAATCTGAATGACTAGACAAAGGTCGAGAAGAAAGACTATGGCATACCAAGCAATAGCACTAGGACTTACCTGATCCCCATACGCATGGCGGCCTATGATGATGGGTTTTACCCACCCGCTCACAAGTCGTGGGATATTTTTACAGATGATAGCTTCTCTGAAGACAGTGCCACCCAGAATATTTCGGATTGTGCCGTTTGGTGATTTCCACATTTGCTTCAGCTTGAACTCCTCAACCCTCTTCTCATCAGGGGTGATGGTCGCACACTTGACGCCCACGTTGTACTTCTTGATAGCTTCTGCAGCATCTTTGGTGACCTGGTCATTGGTGGCATCACGATTCTCTATTCCCAAATCATAGCTGGGAGGGGGAAATCATTAGTGCGACCTACGTGACTTTTCAGAAAACCTGGCCTGTCACTGAGGGTGCTATTGGTGACTACAGGTGCTATCGTTCTCTTTGTTTGTTTTTGTTTGGGGGCCATATCTGGTGATGCTCAAGGACTACTCCTGGCTCTGCACTCAGAGATGACTTGTGGCAGTGCTTGGGGGCAACGTGGGGTGCTGAGGAGTGAACTTGGGTTGGCCACGTGCAAGGTAAGCACCCTACCCGCTCTCCTGTCATTCTGGCCCTAAGAGGGGGTTGCTACCATTTTATCACAATGTTCAGTCTGTGAACAGAGAGAACACAGGGAGCTCACACTGTAGAAAACAAAGACTTCCAATACTGAGACCATAACTCCCAACGACGCCTGCAAACTAAAACCAAACAACCACAAAGGAGGCTGCACTGCTGGCCACGGTCTAGCTCAGTTCAGAAGCTGCCTAGAAGGAAACTGAGCAGAAATCACTGGACTCTGCCCCTCTGCCTGCATGTCACTGGCTAGAGGCAGTGAGCACATTGCCTGTCTGTTTTTACACACTTCCTTCCACCTACTTTGTATAAACTGCAACCAGCTTTTCCTTAATAAATGTCATGTTCTAAAACCTAGCTTCTTCCAACTGCAGGTCATGGCCCAATCTGGAGGGTCACATAACTGTACGTGAGGACTACAAAAAATTAAAATAAACGTGTGATCTATTATCAATAATGTCTGATTTCTGTACCTAATTTAGGTACATGATGTCACACAAAAAAATTTCTTGTGTGAAAAGGCATCCCCAGTGGAAAAGGTTTCAGAAATCTAGCTCAAAAACAAAAACAAAAACAAAGGTCAGGAGCTAGAGAAGTAGCTCACCAGATTGTATACAAACTCTGCATGTAGGAGGCCTGGATTTGATCCTCTGGACCACATCTGACCCTCTGAGCACTGTCAGGAGTGATCTTCAAGCAATCAAGTGGGGATATAGACCTTACGTATCACCAGATTGGTCCCAAAATAATAAAATATATAAAAACCCCAAAATAAAATAAAAGGCTCAAAGGGCTTAAAGGACTTACTTTATTTTGATATTAAAGTGGTGGGAGTTAAAGATGTGATGCTCAGTGCCAAGAATGCTAATGGCTCCCTCAATGTACCAGTTCCTTCATATGGTAAACCTTTCCCTTATTCTTGGGCAAGTCTCTTTGTTCTGAAAACAGTTTGCTGAATATGTAATAGAACCCTGCAATGGTCAGCATACATTTGAAAAGTCATAGCATATTATACTACAACACGTAGTCTGTTTGGTAATCAGAGTTGGAAAAGGTGCTGGTTGTCCATAAAGACTAGGAAAAGACTGCAAGCTTCACTTAGTACACGGAATAGTTTGCTGAAAGCAGGGGGGGAAAATAGCTCTATAACCATTCTGTTTTCTAAGACATTAAAAAAGTGTCTGCTTTGAAAACTTGCAGAATTACTGGGTCCCTAGGTTTCCCTCTATTTCTTGTCTCTTCTTTTCCTTAGCTCTCCAAACTCATGCTGCAAACGGAAAGATATCAGTCTCAATGAATTCCCAAATAAATTAATTCTAAATTGCTTCTACTTTTGACAACTCCTATAAATCCAGCAACGTGAATGACTCTCTTATTTCCTGGCACAGGAAATGGTGAATATCCGTAAATGTCTGAAATTAAGGAATCAAAGGCTTTTGACAACATTGTATGTCCCTCAAAGTCAGAAGAAATCTTTGGAGTTACAGAAGCAAACTCAGACTGGCTTGAGGTTTGTAGCTTTGAGGACATAATAAGCCCTCTAAGTTTTATTCTATTCTCTTTGATAGGGTTAGGACTTTTTTTTTTTTTGGTAAAAAAATAGTTTTTACTAAAATAATTTCAGAGGAATGTGAGGAGAGAAAGAGAGGAATATGTATTCCAAAGAAAACACAAGTTTGAAGAAAATAGAGGAGAGGAAAAGGGAGAGATATGTTCATGAGAGAACATAGCCTTGGAAAAGAGCTGGGCCACAGCATTCTTAAGAATACCACAGTGGGGCTGGAGCCATAGTACAGTGGGTAGGGTGTTTGCCTTGCATGTGGCCGACCCAGGTTCGATCCCCGGCATCCCATATGGGCAGCACCGGCAGGAGTAATTCCTGAGTGCAGAACCAGGAGTAATCCCTGAGCATCGCTGGGTATCCCCCCCCCCCCCAAAAAAAAAGAATACCACGGTACTGGACAGTACTGGCCAGTGGAGACCACACAGTAAGCCCTTTTTTTACCAACATTCACCTTTTTCTTTATTCTATACTGAAAAAAAAAAACAAAACCCATTTTCTATACAAGTGACGCATGTCCACTGTATACTCCTCAACTGCCCGCCCCGCCATTTTCTTATATATATATACATCTTCTTTTTTGAAAAAACTACTAAGTATGTCTAAACTGTTAAGTCACCCGAAATCTACTCAGCATAAAACTAAACCCCTATTTCCTCACTTTGAAGCTTGTTCTATAGTCTATACTGGCCAGATATGATTCCCAATTTAGATAAGGTGGGGGTTTTTTTGGTGGGGAAGGTGGGGGGGTGAGGGGTTGAGTATTTTAATGTTCATGCAACAGAAGTACCTGTCAATTAATGAACTTTTTGCTTTTAACATTTCTACAAGAAAAACAAAAGGAATTCAGAATCCTGTGCCACTATCTAGCCTACAGAAAAACAAATGAATTGTTCTACTCTCCTTAAAAAATGTCAGTCTTGGACCAGAGAAACAGTACAGCAGGTAGGGCATTTACCTTGCAAGTGACCAACCTGGGTTCAATTCCTGGTAACCCATACAGCCCCCCAGCTGCCCAGTATCTCATATGATCCCCCAAGCACTGCCAGGAATGATTCCTAAGTACAGAGCAAGGATTAAGCCCAAAACAAACAAACAAACAAACAAAAAAAAGCAAACACAAAAAACCAAAAAGGTCATTCATGCAATAATAATAACAGAATTTTTGAACAATTATAAAACTTATTTACCCTGTGACTCATCTTCCAGGAATGGTGATTGTTCATTATAAATTACTTCCTTCTATTACAACATTAAAGACCCACAAAGCATCTTTGCAGCCAATATACTGACAAAACCTGTGATTCCCTTACTTCCCTGGGAAGGGCTGAAATAGGAGAACACTTATAAAATGCTCCTGGACCCCATTTGCATGCCATCTTGATGCTTTTATTTCCTATATATTTGGTTGACCTCTGCAGGTATTTGCTTTCTCATGGATGTAATATGGACATTCTCAACGGCTTGGGCTTAGAAAAATTGAAAACAAGTGTCTGATGGCACCAAGTCAATTTACTGTCCACACCCACGCAAACAGGAAGTGCTTAGGGCAAACACACTTATAATTGCCAAAAGTTTGGCTGAAATTTCCCATGCCAGTTATGAGCCACTTTTAGGCTACTACTTATGAAAAGGGCAAAAAGAAAAAAAAAGGGAGGGGACAAAAAGCAGAAAGGAAAAAGTTCACTGACTAGTTAATGACTAGTTAAGGAGAATGCCAGAAAAGTTTGAAAAGACAAAAAGACAAACTCATATAAATTTCACTTACCTGGCTGTTTAATATGTATTTCTTTTATTTTTCCTTCTACAAGTAATACCTAGTACTACACTTTTGGCCCCTGATAAACCACAAATAAAACTATCATGGGAAACCGAGGTTAGGAAAGAAGTGAAAATCACTTTGTCCCCATCATAATTCTCTTAAAATAAGAAATCTAGTTTATCTAGTTGTATGTTCAAATTAAAAGTGTTCCTTTCCTAAGCGAAATGAGTCAGAAAGAGAGGGATAGACATAGAAAGATTGCATTCATCTGGGGGATATAAAGTAACAAAATATGAGATTAATACCCAAGAATAGCTGAGATCAGCACCAGGAGGATTACTCCATAACTTAGAGGCCAGCTGGGTATCCTAGAGGAAAGGGCAGTTCAGATAGAGAAGGGAGCACCAAATAAAGGGTGTTTGGAGGGTCCTCCCAGGAGGGGAGATGCATGTCGAAAGTAGACTATGGACTGAACATGTCTGCCACTCAATGCCTCTTTTGCAGACCACAACACCCAAAAGGAGAGAGAGAACACAGGGGATTGCCCTGCCACAGAGGCAGGGGGGGATGGGGGTGGGGGGATATTATCCATGGTGGTGGAAAATGGGCACTGGTGGAGGGATGGGTATCTGATCATTGTATAATCGAAACCCAAGCACAAAAAATTGTAAATCTACAACTGTACCTCATGGTGTTTCACTAATAAATAAAAAAAAAAAATTGTTCCTTTCCATATATTAGGAGCCCCTTTTACAAAAAGCTTTATTCAAGAGATATAGCGAAATATTTTTTTAAAAAGCCAGTTGTACCCTAAAATCACTTTTGAATTTACCACTTGCAGAGTAATTCACTTACCTGTGTAGATCCAAATCCACATAAGGAAAAATGAGTTTTTGTTTAATCAGTTCCCAAATGATTCGTGTCATTTCATCTCCTTGCATCTCTACCACAGAACCGCCACTAATTTTTTGAGACATTTTGACTTCAATATTCCTTTAATAAGAAAAAAGGTAATATTCTCTTTTAATATATCATCATAAACATGTGTTAAAATAATGAAAATTAAAAATAAACTGCCTTAATATTTATTTCAGTGTAGTGTGCAAACAAGATGCAATTTGGTGATTACTAAAATAATAGCCCATGATAGCACAACCCCAGGGGCCACAGAGATAGTGCAGGTGGTAAGGTGACTTGCTTGCAACAGCCAACTTGGATTCGATCCCTGGCACCTTGTATAGTCCTCTGAGTACTGCCAGCAGTGATCTCTGAACACAGCCAGGTGTGCCACCCTCACATTCCCCCCTCCCCCCAATAGCACGACTGCATAGATACCTGCAACAATAACACTTGCATTAGAATTTAGGACATTCTTGGGGTCGAGGAGATAGTATAGCTGGTAGGGTGTTCGCTTTGCATGCGGCCAACCCAGATTCAATCCCCAGCACCCCCATATGGGGTGAGCACCATCACGAGTGATCCCTGAACACAGAGGCAAGGGTAAAGCCCAGGCACAGTTGGGTGTGGCCCCAAACAAAGAACAAACAAACAAAAGAATAAAGCACATTCTCCCTATAAAGCATTGTGCAAACTTTGTTTGTGTGTGGTTTCTGAGTCAGCCTTCACAACAACCCTGAAAGTAAATAAGTTATGTTCCTATTTTACTTTTTTTTTTTCAAAAAAAGGAATTTACTAAAGCCATCCTGCTAGAGATTGGGCGTGTCTGACAAGGCAACATGCCATTAATAATGCAATATTATTCTTGACTGCTGGTTTTCTTTAAAAAATAAAATTATTTCCATGATGACATATTTATTTAGACCCTTCTATCCAGCTCTTCATTTTACTGGGCCTCCAAGATGAGTGGAGTGATGAGTGCTATTATCTCTTTTCAGAGGCTATTTTGGATAAAATAATTCTCCTTGTGGGGCTTCAATAAGGTTTTGTAACTCATGCTTAAAGGAGCTTGTATTACACCTAAGTATGAAAGATGAAGCATTTCCTGGTGGGATTTTTCCTAAAGACAATCAAGGAAGCTGGGTATGTTACACTAAATATCAAAGTGATTTTTCAGCGGAAATCTGTAATGTGGGGCTGCTTCCAAAGAATCCAAGACTGTGCCCCCAATTATACTATCTTCTTTAGTATCTCAACGCTGGACTGTTCTTTTGGCTTTTGTTGGGCAAAGGCTGTCTGCCAGGGGAGAGAATGGGAAAGTGGAACTAATCCAGGAAGAAATTGTTTTTGAGAAAAGATGTTTAGGGCAGCAAAGAAATCAATCTGATTTTCAGTTAGGTCGGGCACACCAATGGAAGCCAAACTAGGATATTGAGAAGACCAAAGTCTGATCCTGGAGACAACAGAAGAATCCCTGAAACTTTCATTGCTGTCTGCCCCTTTCACAGTCCTTGAAAGGGAATTTCCCTCCTATCACACAGCCTCAGTTGTTTTCATCCCCAGAAATTATAGCCGAGGACTGGAAAAGTGAGAGAAGACTTCAACAGTTACAAGGTAAAAGCCGGAAAACTGTCTCTCTTGAAAAGTGGAGCCTTTGGGAACATTTGAGCCATATCCTGTGCTTCCTCCTGGGATGCTCAGGGGACCATCCATACATAGTGCTGGGGACTGAACTATGTGCAAGGCAAGCACCTAAACCCGGCACTACCTCTTTGGCCCTGGTCTTTATGTTAAGGAAAAAAAAAAAATGGAATGATTAGTAAACTAGAAGTCGCAATTTCTTAGGACAAATCAGGATATATTAAAAATCCCTAGCCTGACTTTCATTTCCCAAATGTGCAGTTTTAAAAATCTGCTTTAGGAGGCTTCCTGCATTAATAGGCAATAGGCACACAGTGTCTTAAATAGTGGATTGAGACCCTATTTGGGGTCCACTGTCCATTGTCCTCCCGTTGTTCATCGTTTTCCTCGAGCGGGCCCAGTAACGTCTCCATTGGAGACTTGAGTGATAGCACAGCGGTAGGGCGTTTGCCTTGCACGTAACCAACATGGCCGACCCAAGTTTGATTCCTCCGCCCCTCTCAGAGAGCCCGGCAAGCTACTTACTGAGAGTATCTCGCCCTCACGGCAGAGTCTGGCAAGCTACCTGTGATGTATTCGATATGCCAAACACAGTAACTATTTGGGGTCATATAACTGAATATGGGGGCCACAAAAAAAACAACAACTTGACCACAGAAAAAGGTTTCTGAACACAGAATAACCTACACTTAATTCAAAATCAACTGTGCAATAAATCTGGGTATTTCTGGCAGTGCTTGTTGGTGCAGGGTGTGGCAAATACGAAAGTTTTAAGAAGCTCTGGACTGGAATGAAAAAGAAAACTTTTTGCTTCCCAGGTATAATTTTCATTGTAGCATAAGGAAGTGGTTTAGTCCAGTTGATCCCATTGTCACATCTATAACACCAAAACACAAAGAGCCAGCACACTTGTCTCGATCTTGATATTACATTTACTACACAGTGTTAGGCAAGAGGCACAGATGGGACAGATGGGTTCTTTTTCCTTGATAGCAAATAGAGTTAATCAGAGGCTGGAGAGATAGGACAGCGGACAAGGCTTTTGCCTTGCATACCACTGACTCGGGTTCAATCCCCAGGACCCCATACTGTCTCCAGAGCACTGCCAGTAGGTCCTGGGCATAGCTGGTGTCACCCCAAAACCCAAACCCAAACCCAAACCCAAAACAAATAGTTACTCAGGAGCCAATACCATACTTGAAATTTCAATATGAACAGTATCTTTACTATTTTATTCCCAATTGAAACATTTTCTGCAGTAGTCTTTCTGTAGCTCATAATGCATAATGAACATTTCAACATTTTCCTCACAACTTATCCATTAAAATTTTACTATTTTATTTATTTGTTTTTCTTTTTGGGTCACACCTGGCAAAGCACAAGAGTTACTCCTGGCTTTTGCACTCAGGAATTACTCCTGGCAGTGCTCAGGGGACCATATGGGATACTGGGAATCAAACCAGGGTTGGCCATGTGCAAGGCAAATACCCTACTCGCTGTGTTATTGCTCTAACCCCTTTACTACTTTTTTTTTTTTTTTGCTTTTTGGGTCACACCCGGCGATGCTCAGGGGTTACTCCTGGCTCATGCACTCAGGAATATGCTCCTGGTGGTGCTCGGGGGACCATATGGGATGCTGGGAATCGAACCTGTGTCGGCCATGTTGGCTGCGTGCAAGGCAAACGCCTTACTCGCTGTGCTATCACTCCAGCCCCCCTTTTACTACTTTTTAAATGAAAATGTGTGGCTTTACTGTAGACCCTCGCTCACTATATTGAGGGGCATTATTTTATTTCCTCTAGATTTGAATTCCAGGGGATGAGCTTTAGGCCCCACTGGATTCAGTACTTGAAGATAAGCTCTTGGATTTTCTGTCTCCACTAAACTCTGATTTCAGAAGAGAGCACTTTCTCAATAGGCACGCTCATTGAGGCCAAAAGTGACTGCATGTCAGTCTCCTGATAAACTAGTGGGATTCCAGTAAGTACACCTACACCAGAGTAGTTTAAGAAAAATCAGCTGCTTAGGGGAAAAGTCAGCTCAGATAGAGAAGGGAGCACCAAATAAAGGGTGTTGGGAGGTTCCTCTCAGGATGGGAAATGTGTGATGAGAGTAGACTATAGACCATAGACTGAACAAGATTGCCACTCAATGTCTTTTTTGCAAACCACAGCGGTCAAAAGGAGAGAGATAACAAAAGGGAACGCCCTGCCACAGAGGTAGGGTGGGATGGAGGAGATGGGGGGTGGGAGGGATACTGAGACTGGTGGTGGTGGAGAATGGGCACTGGTGGGGGGATGGGTATTCGATCATTGTATAACTAAAACCCAAGCACAAAAATTTGTAAGTCTACAACTGTATCTCATGGTGTTTCACTAATAAAAATTTAAGAAAAAAAAATCAGCTGCTCAATATCATTACCTAGTTTTCTGGTTTGTTTGTTTTGGGGCCACATCTAGCTGTGCTCATGATTTTCTCCAGGCAGAGCCGGGGGTTTGGTGAACAGCATGCAAGGCCAGTAACTTAACATGCCTACACACACACACACACACACACACACACACACACACATCTTTTCAGCCACTTTATCCCCTAAATTTTTAAACCACAGTTTTTGTTTCATTTGAGTTTCTTGAAAAAAAAAAAGCAGTAGAAATTTATTGGGGTTTATTTTTGGTTTTGTTTTGCATTTTGGGGCCATTCCAGGAGGTGCTCAGGGCATATTCCTGGCTCTGCTGTCAGGGGTCATTCCTGGAGGGGCTCAGGGGACCATGTGGGTGCTGGAGATCAAACCCTATATGGCCACCTGCAAGGCAAGTGCACTTCATCGCTCCTGCCTTTGCAATTTGTTGCTGGAAGCATTCCTTACTCAGTCCGTTACAAAGCTCCTGCCTATCTCTAAGACCTTTAAGGCCAATTAAACATAGTATTGCCACATCAAAGACTGCACAGGAGAGCAGAAAGAGTTAATTCTCACTTTCACAGTTGAATCAACTTCGAATCACTCCAACTCCTCTGGATCTTGCGGAGTCCACGGAGTGCAGTTTATCTGAAACAAAACAAGGAAAAGAAACAAAACACCGAGACACGAGAATTTAGCTGTTATTAATTCGACCTAGACAATTGAGTTTATCTGGTTTTAAAAGTACACACAGTGTACCCCGACGGGCAAAGTTCAGTTTTAGGGCACCTTCCAAAAGTAAGGTCAAGGGAGTCCAAACTTATGAGCGCGGAGGCACTGGTTGAGGACTCCCAGGCGAGTCTCCGTTAGCGGGTTGGGGTTTGCAAGGCCAGTGGCCAACAGCAGGCTTTGCACCGGAGACGTCCTTGTGGTCATGTGCAAGAAGTTGCAAGGAAACTTGGCTCGCTTCCTCCCAGAACCCAGCCCTATCCCGGACCTTTAACCCCGACTCCCGGAGCTGGCCGAGGAATGCCTTCCCCCTCCCCAAAAAAAACTCAAGACCCTGGGATCCCGCAATCGCGGTGTCTTAGTCAGCACCCCACAGCCCAGCACGCGGCTCCGCCCCCTCCACGCCCCACGCCCCTCTCCTAGGCAAAGGAATCCACCTCGCTGGCCCGCCAGCCCCCCACAGCCTCAGCTTCCCAATTTCTCAGCTCCCACCTTTCTTTGCTTCCCAGCTCCCCACTGATGCACGCTGCTCCACCCCGCCCCCCGACCCTCCAGGCCCCAGACTTAGTCTTCTCCGTATTCTCCAACTTCTAATCTTTCTATTTTCCTCTGGCGGGCAGGTAATGCGATTCCAAGAGTCGCCGAAGGCAACTTCGCAGTCCCCCCAACCCCCTTTGCACCCCTCCCGGGTGCAGAAGCAGGGGCCTCGCACATTCCCAGGCACCCGCTGCCCGCTTTCTCTCTCGAGCCCACGCCCTAGGTTGTTTTTCTTTCTTTCTTTTTTTTTTTAATATTTTTTTCCTTCTCTTCCGAGCCACTGCGAGTTGCCGCTAAGTTCCTCCCTCCAGGTCCGAGATCTGAGCTTCCTTAGGTCTCCCCCCCAAGCTACCAGCCACCAAAGGAATGGGAGCATCCCCACCTCCTGCCCCGGCCAAAGCCAAGAGGCCGAGCCGCCGTTCAGAAGCTGCAGTCGCCTTGCAGGAAGACCAGCCAAAGCCACACACGCGCGCGCGCGCGCACACACACACTTACCAGCGGCTATTCGGGCAAACCCAGCTGTTCCGGCTTCTGACAGCGCGTCTCCCAAAAACGCAGAAACCGGCGGAGGGAGGGGAGGAGCCGTCCCGCTTCCCGGCTTTTGTCCCCTCCCGGGCCCGGCCCCCTCGGCCCACTCTCCGGAGTCCCGCCTCCTGGAGGCCCGGCTCCGCCTTACCACCAATCACCGCGCGCCAACTTCTTCCGGAGGGCGGGACCTTCAGAAGGTCAGGGGCGGGGCCTGAGCCGCAGGGGCTGGAATCCCTGTGCTCTCTCTTGGGGGGTCCGGGCTGCAGTGTTCCCCACCCTCAGCGCCCTCCTGCTAGTCGCGGCGGAAGAAACGTGAAGGCCACTTGCAGGCTGAGGTGCTGGGCGCTCCCTGGCTGCTGTTCTGAAATCCACATCTTGGGCTTTGTAAAAGTCTAGGAGGGCCCCCCAGAGTGAGTTTCTAGGTGCCCCCCCAAAATAAAGTCAATCTGGGGAGCTCCCGAACCTGTTTTCCACGTGCCCACGGGTGTGCTGTCGTCAGCGACGCGCCTATGGCTTGGTGGGGTCGCTCTGGGGGCTTTTCAGATAGAACGCTCAGAATTGAACGCTTTCCCAAGCAGGCGTGTTCTCCAGAAACCCTCCCCCACCAATATCTAGTCTAAACCTGGTCAACTCGACACGTTATTGTGATCATCATTCCAGTTACTAGTACAGACTATAAGTTAGCCAGTTTATTATTTGCGTTAGAAGATAAAAAGGGATGAGATGATACTATCTGCGTCCCAATGAAATTAGAATAAAGAGCTGAAGTCTTAGGAAACAATGGATCTCTTCCCTGCGGGAAATCATTTTCTGTACATTCCTTCATCTTGGAAAAACGGGAGGAGAAGAGAGGATTCTGGGTTGTGATTTGTAGAATAATAGCATGTGTGTATATTGCTACCCAGATTTTTGATGCTCTCTCCCCAATTTATCTTTAGCTATTATTTCTAGTAATGGAATTACAATTGCTCTTTGAAGATAGAAAAAGCATTGCCGGCAAGATGCATTTTAGACTCTAGAGGGCGCTGGTATTTTTCTCAAGAAAAAGAAAAAGATTACAAGAGACAAGCACTTGATTTGGGGGCGGGGGGAGAGGGCAGCATTCGGCCACACCCAGCTGTGCTCTGGGCTTACTCCTGGTCCTGCACTCAGGGGTCACTCCTGGAGGGGCTCACAGGACCAAATGGGATGTGGAAGATCAAACCCGGGTTGGTCGCGTGTAAGGCAAACACCGTACCCACTGTACTACTCTTCCAGTCCTAGCACTTGTGGATTTTTGAGGTGGATTATTGGAAACAGTCACCTCTACTTATTTCTGTAGAAATGATTATCTAGCTTCTCTTTTCTTCCTGAATTTGGGACCCAAAGTCTCTTGAGATTGTGAATTTACTTGATGTTACTGGGTTTGATGTGAACCCAATGCCCACTCCTAAAATTAAATTTATTCTTATTCCAGAAAAATATTAGGGCAGTGTTCAAGAGGCATAGAATTAATATATAGTATGGTAAAAGGTACTGAATTTCCGTGGGAAAAGAGAATATAGTAAAATATACAGAACCATGCTGTGTTACGAATATATCAAACACTACTAGGGATGGACTGCAAATTTGTCATTAAGCTAAGGGTGGAAAGAAAGATCACACTTGTGAGAGTCTCATCACCAAAGAATGTGTTCTATGGCAGAAATGTAGGAATTCCTTTTTTATTTAAAGTACTTTCTATATATCTAGAATTTACTTGTGTTGCTGTTTATGTGCTATTTATAATACTAGAAATGTGCATAGTTCTTATACAATAATAAAAGTATAGAAATAATGATTAGGAAACAACCGTGAAAACAAAGTATTTCATTTCATTTCATCATCCTGTTATTCGTCGATTGCCTCGAGCAGGCCCCAGTAACGTCTCTTTCATCCTAGCCCTGAGATTATATTCAAGGCTCTTTAGGAGAATGAGACCCATCATTGTTACTGGTATTTGGCATATTTGGTACACCATGGGGAGTTTGCCAGACTCTGCCCTGTGGGCAGGCTATATTCGATAGCCTGCAAGTTTGTCCAAAGTAGGAATGAGATAATAAGATGTCATAAAAAGATGTCCTGATAAGATGTCGCGCGGCCGCTGTATTTTATAGTCTCTGAGTCTTGGCCGTTGATGGGATTACACGGCGCCAGAGGGCCAGGTGGAGAGTGTGACCCCCGCCTACTGGAATTTGGAGGATGCTCGACTCTAATCCGAGTAGGCTGGGAGATCTCGGCCCCGGAACCCGCGTGGCTCCCTCTGCCAGTACCTTCATGTGTGCGGAGAGTGGTCTCAGCATGGTGGTGGCTGGTCCTGGAGGTCTTCGGCTGCCGGAGCCTTGGTTGGGGCGGGGAGGAAAGCTCAACCCTCCAAGGGACCCCGGCGAGGAACAGCCAGGCGTGGGGGCAGAAGACTGCACTGTTCTCGTCCGGGAGCTGTATTTTATAGTCTCTGAGTCTTGGCCGTATTATTATTATCAATATAAATACAACAATGAAATTTCCAACAATGAAATGGAATTTTTGTTTGAAATGTGGCTATGAAGCTCATTGCTTACATTCAGGTTTGAATTTAACTTATTCTACTTGAATGCTATGTGATGATTCATTTAGCATCAGTTTTCTGTCTTTTTCGGAGGGGATGGGGCCCTGGAGGTGCACAGGGATCACTTCCGGTGGAGCTCAGGGTACTAATGGGGTGCTGGGGATCAAACTCAGATCTGATGCATGCAAAACAAGCAATCTACCTACGGATCAGTCTCTCCAGTCCTAAACATTTTAATATCTGGTCCCAAATACCATACTAAATAAAATTAAGGACTTGAAAGTTCTGTGAGTTCTTCATAATGAAACATTCATCTAGATAATAGGATTCTCATAAGATTCTGTAATATGTAGTTTCATTTTGATGATAAAAATATCAAAGTTCAAAGAACAACTTATTCTCCCTTGTGAAAATTTAATTTGTAGAAATTCGTTGACCATGAAGATGACAAAAGAGAGAAAAATAAGAAAAAATATTGGAGATTTTTTTGGGGATTTAGATGACAAGTTGTCCTTCAACTGCAGGGATATTCATAGAATCACAGGTTTGATGACCATGATGTTGAATTAATTTCAAGCTTTGATCAAGGAAATAAATTCTGCCTTAGTGACATTAGGATAGGGATGTCCAGGAGGCTATTAGGTTAGTTTAGGACTAGAAAGAAACCTGTGCATCTTTAGCAATGTCGGTGACTTAAATTACTTTCCCACCACCTCCCCCTGGTATCAGTTGACGCTCTAACACCCCAGTACCTCAGAATGTGACTGTAATTGAAAATGGAACCTTTAAAGAAGTAATTGTGACATCTGACTGGTGTCCTTAAAAGAAGAGAAATTTTTGATACATAAATTGCACACAGGGGTTGGACATGTGAAGAGACTGCAACAGAATGACTGTTTGCTGCTAAATATAGAGGCTAAAGGAGAAAATAAACCTGCCAACACCTTAATCTTAGACTCCTAGTCTCCAGAACTATGTCTTTCTTTTTTGGGAGGTGATGGGGGGGTTGGGCCACAACTGGTGAAGCTCAGTTCTGTACTTAGGTGGAGCTCTTGGTTCTGTACTTAGAGATGACTCCTGTTGGTTCAGGGGACCATATGGAGTACAAGGATCAAATCCAGTTGCTGCATACCAGGAAAGCACTTTGCTTACCTGTTGTATGATTCCTCTGGCCTCTCTGTAGTGTGTGTGTGTGTGTGTGTGTGTGTGTGTGTGTGTGTGTGTGGTATCCCCACCAAAACTAACGCAAGCATGTTTTTATAGTAGATGAAATCAGAAAGCACACGGATTATCAAGAGGTATAGGGAAGAGTCTATTTCAGCAAGAGTTCTGGAATATTTAACATCTTTTTAAGAGCCAGGTAGAGGAAAAGGTACCTTGGAAAGAGAACACAGGGTGAAGTGACTGCAAATATAAGGATAAGATTCATCAGAGCCTGATGGAAGGCAAAGGAAGAGAAAGTTTCTGAAAAGAAAGATGTACTGCAGAGAGGTTAAGGAAGACAGAGCATTAAAATTTTGGCAAGTAGGGGGAACTCATGAACGCACTCCAAGAGGAACCACTCTGTCATGAATGATTCAGATAAATGCCACATTAAAGAAGATTTAATTGTGAGCAGAAGTTTGGGATAGGGAAACTCAAAAACATTTAAAAAAATGTTGTGAAGTGCAAAACAATTCTTTATAATAGCTGTCACTGTCACTGTCACTGTCCTCCCGGTGTTCATCGATTTTTTTGAGCGGGCCCAGTAACGTCTCCATCATGAGACTTTGTTGTTACTGTTTTTGGCATATCAAATAAGCATGGTATCTGATAGCTAAATTCTTGGTCATTATTTTGGATTATACTCCTCATTTCTGTTGGTTAGAAATTAGTTTTCACTTAATTGTTTATAACGATTTTTTTTTTTTTTTTGCTTTTTGGGTCACACCCAGAGATGCTCAGGGATCACTCCTGTCTCTGCACTCAGGAATTACTCCTGGTGGTGCTGGGGGAACCGTATGGGACGCTGGGGATTGAACCCAGGTTGTCCGCATGCAAGGAAAACACCCTACCCGCTGTACTATTGCTCCAGCCCTGTTTATAATGATTTTAAATAACTATGGGAGCATATTTAGATGTATCTTATTTTATACTTGTCTCTGTTCTGGATAGCAGCTTGCTAGAGTTGCAGTTGTTGGGTCAAGGAATATAAGCATTTATTTGTAAGGTGCTTGTTAAGTTTTCCCAAATCATTTTTTGCTATACCTGTGTATGTTTCACATGCAGTTCAATATAATGCCAATTTCATTACACCCTAGCCAGAACTGAATTTTCAGATTTTCAAATATATTTTGGCATTTCCTGTTAGAGGGAAATAAGTCTCCTTAGGAAGCTCATTAATTCTAAGCCCAGGTCAAGGATAGTTCAAGATGACCTTCATGTATTTTATTGGGTTAGAAAGTTAAGGAAATGCTCAGAAGTGTGATAAAGGTATGTCCAAATGGATGGACATGGGAGCCAGATGGATGGGGAAATCCCTGGGAA